GATCATAACTTTTTGGTTACCTAGTTACAAAACCACCGCAGTTATACTTTTGGGGGTAGGTGTTGGGAAGGGATGTAGTGTGTGCAATGAGGAATCTCAAGGCTAACAGGCGTTATTCACATGGGACGAAAATGAAGGTTTCACAAATATTCGAACTAGTTTAACGACTATAAGCAAGATTTCGAGATACCTCTTTGGAGATTGATTATTTGGTTATGAGAAGTTAGACATCTTTATCGGTTCTCTTATATTCTTCAAAAACATTGCGAGTGCCTTATGAATGGAATGCAGGTATGGCTGCTTACAAATTGCGTATCACAATACAATTATACAAATGCAAAGTTATCTATTTGTGTATTTGAACGGGAACGTGTACACTAGATTACTGAAGTGGGTCACAAATGGAATACAAGATCCTGGTCAAAAGCAACAAATTGTTGACAAACATTCATCACAAATTTGGTTTGGTTGCATTTTGTCATTATTCGTCTGCAAATAACCAAAGAGATTTGATAATCTTTAAATGCAACTGTAGGTGAAGACAACATACAACGCCAGATTCAAGCAGATTACATTATCGAAGGACATCATGACATCAACACTGTTTAGTCTGATTGTGCACCACATGATGTCCTTCGATAATGTAATCTGTAANTATTTGTGAAACCTTCATTTTCGTCCCATGTGAATAACGCCTGTTAGCCTTGAGATTCCTCATTGCACACACTACATCCCTTCCCAACACCTACCCCCAAAAGTATAACTGCGGTGGTTTTGTAACTAGGTAACCAAAAAGTTATGATCTCTTACGCTTTCAGCGTCAACTAAGCCATTTGATTAGTCATAATTTAACCACCATGCACTGAATATGTCCTATATTATGAATAAAAAGATAACCTCCTGGGATGATATTACAGGGTACATTTATATGATATATATGTCATATAAATGTATATATATATATAATATCTCATCTTGGTCCTTTGACACCAGATTTCTTATTCTAGTATGTAAATGCCTTGCGAATTGTTTCCATTTTCTTACGGAATTCAAGTCTGTGCCCTCTAGCAGATGAATTCAAATAGTTTTTCGTTTCATCAAGGATAGCACATGCGCACACATATTTGTCATGTACAGGACACGAACGAGAACGGAGTTGCTCTTGTTGATAATTGTCTTTTGAGACAGAGATTCACAGCGCAATTCGTGTAGCTCATTTTTTGATGAAGGTGAAATGTACATCCTTAGCAACAATGTGGTCATGATGAAACAGTACTTGTCCAGCTGAAGACGAAGCATTCAATTAAGTCAACTTTCCTTAGGTTTGCTTGAGCGTGTTGCTGCACATGTTCACATAGTTGGAAAACCGTTTTCTCAATGCGTCGGACCAAAGAGCTGAGACCATCTGGTCTCAGCTCTCTGGTCCATTGAACGCGGCCTCTATCAAACACAAACAGAATTGCTAGGGTATGGAGCTTGAGTCTTTTGTCATAAATGAGCCCATGGTATGCGGATGTTGAATGAAGAAGTTTCGATATTTTTCTGCAACAAACACATTGTGAAACTTGGTTGTATATGTATCAGGTTGTACATTTCATTTGCAAAAGACGATTGTGTAATCAATAACAACAGTAAGAACAAATGATTGCTTTTCATTGAATTACATTTCGATTCTGAATACCACTCTCTTACAGAACTATGCAGAAATCTTTTGCAGAAATGTGTGCAATTAGGTGGACGGACTATTTAGGTATCCATTAGGCGTATAATGTATTCATGGAGGCGCTAAAACGTGTTTAGATTGTTGTGTTTGCTTGCATACTGTTGGACGAAATCTCTTTCAGGATTTTGCACAGCTTCAACCTATCTTCGCTAAATCAAGATATGGTCTGTCCGAGAGTCCAATTTATATTTTAACCAAACCACATGTGTTCGACTTGTATCTATCTAGATAAATATGTACCAAGTTCCGGTTCCGATCCAAGCCGAAACTGTAAACATAAACATAAACAACCTAGAACTAAATTATATGGTGACTCACACTAGACCTATTGCAGAGGGTAGGATTCCATGTTATCCTCACACACTTTTTATCGACAATGCTATGCCTCTACTCTCTTCCATTGCCTACAGCCCCAGATATTCGTATTCTCCTTTTCAACACTATCAGACAGTCTGGTTCGCGCAATAAGACATGTAGGTGACAGTGTTCTGAACCACTCCCGCTGGGAACGTCAAACAGGTCGGATTTCTACCCCGATTCTGAAGTGAAGCATACGGCATCTGATGATGAGCGATAAAACTTTATTGCGTGCAAACGCTTTGACCGAAAAACATGAAGTTATTTAAACATATACATGGAATGAGATTGTGTCTTACGGTAATCAATGGAGGGAACATTGGACATTTTCTGATTTGTTATTCATGAATCAAAATAGGTAATAAGCCTGGTGGAATGAGGACCGATTTTAACTGAGATTTTATCATGTAATAAAATGGGAGAGTATTAATACATGAATATTGGTTCATTGATTCGAATACATGTATGGAAATGATTATTTATTATTAATTAAGTAAATAAATAATGCTATGGAAATATTATCTCCAGAAGATTCTCACTAATTTTTTGAGGGGTTAGAATTATTCGGTCTAATGCAGAAGGTTACCGTTTTATCAGTCTTCACCGAAGTATAGCAGCTACCCCTTCAAATATTTGATTACTGTATGTTGGTTCCATCCGATGATCAAATAATACTTTCAGTGATACGACTGTCTTCCCGTTTGACTATCCTACATAATACTATTGTATTCACGCATACGTATATCATTGTCATTTTTTTCTTGTCGTCTATGCTTTCTCATGTTTAGTACGCTCCATCGTTACCTATCATTCACACAGTCATGCATTTATGTCAGATTGAGCAGCCCAATATAATATGGAATCTGAAGCCGAAGTAGATGCAATACACATTCACATCATTCGAATAAAGCAACTGCACCTAATGCAAACTAATTACCCTGTCACTTATCCTAGTTTGATATTTTATCTGACTTATTTGCTCATTCGCGTGGATTCCAAGGAAATTTTCTTTGCTCATTTAACCACAATGTACGAACTGACTCGCATCGAGCAATGGGAAACGCTTGTATTCAGTGACACTTATGTCATAAAACATAGTCCGTTTGATTCCAGACAATGTTTTCTGTGCAAAACATCTCAACCCACGTAACTACCATTCAACTGTGAATGTATATGAGCCTCCAAGAAAATCATATGGCTAATCAGTTCTGTTAGTTATTAGGCATTAGGCAGAACGCATCCATACAGACAACTTAAATGCTCCTCCTAATCGGTTGTAATCATGAGCATTTTATGGAGGATTGAGTGAGTTTTAGAGAATTGTTTTCATTGTAATGTTTCAGGCGCGATTATTATTGCTCAAGGTAATCTGAACTGTCATATATCAGACGACGCTGGCTTATACCACAGCATTTGCGATGTTGAAAACAATTCGCGCGCATTTAAATGAGAAAGACTTTGATCATTCCAATTCGTATAAACATGCAGCAACCCCCAAAATCCCTGACCTACAGCTTATTTGTGTTTTCAATCAAACCATTATGAAAGTGCAATCAATATTGAGGAAAAGATTGGGATTTAAATCAGTGACTCGTTAAACTCTGTCCCCGGGATAATTGCAGATTTAATGAGTCGGAAAAGAAAACCGCGCATTAACATTTATTACTTTCATAATGTTTTTCATGGATTTCATCAAAATCTGTGAATCGAGCAGTACTGTTTCATTTTTTCCACGGATGTGTCTGATGTTGAACAGTTTGTGTGTGATGAGTAGTGGATGACGGAGCATTAGTTGGTAGATGCTATACAGTAAACTATCAATCATCCCAAAAAAGCAATATATTTAAACTAGCCGATAGTGTGTACGGTTATGGACTGAAATAATAAAGTGGTAGTAGATAAACTGAACAATTGTTTTTTAATTTTGGGGATTAATCAGAACCCCTGAGTTGAAATTCTTGCACCTTATTTCGACTCCAGCGTTTTTCCTTGTTTTACCAATTAATCCCACTGGATTTCTCATTTTCATCCGAATTATGAGGTGCTATTTGTTTCGTCTGTTTAACAACGATATACGAATCGATTCATATCATCCTCGTGTATCACAGTGTGCTTGTTCCTGGAGATCGTCTTACACAGTTGTGATTCAGTTGGACCGTTGTGCCAAATAATGAAAAGTCTAAGGCACAGTGCACAGTGCACGGCCACCCAACAACAGCTTCAGTTTGAACTCCCATCTCTCTCTCCTTTGATAGTGGTACCGACTGATCAACTATTCATCCGAAGCTTCTCCAAGCCGGAAGTGAATCAACAACAAAGTTATTTTTGCTACGGTACATTTCGTATGCATATAAGATCACAGCACAGAATCCGAATCCCTAATGTGATGTACATGCCATTGTGTTCATCAAAGTTCGTACTAGGGCCAAGTATTTTTAAACATATGTCGGTTGTGATAGGAAATCTTGTTTTGGACACAGATAATCACGCGAATCCCTAGGCATAATTATTAGCAAAGAGAAATATAGGAAATAAATACACACATCAATTTGTTTGTAAACTGTTGATGAGATTTTGTGATAACTTTGTCGCATAATTCAGGATTAGACTGAAAGATTGGGAAAGGCTGGTCATTTGTTTCTTCGGGGTTGGATTTCATCAGTAATGCGAATCCATCAACCCACAGATGGAACGCGCGCATACTATTCACTCGGGTAGCCGATAAGTACAGCTGAGCTTTGCGTCATTAATGTGGGTATCACGCGTCAAGAATCTTCATTGCTTGCTAGATTGCTGAAGTTGTGATCAACGTTGATACTCACACTGCAACAAAATTACAATCTTCCTCACATAATGACAACTTAGGACGGCTTAGACAAAAATGATCTGCACACGTTCCCATGTGTTCTCTGTCAAACTAATCAGAACACGATAAAATTTGACAGTTTTCCACAAAAAATGTTCTGGTAAGCTAATCTTCAGTAAAGTGATTTCATGAAACCGAAAATGTACTCAGGTAGGCGGTGCGTCAGTCGCGCCCACCCCAGCCCCTCCCCTCGGAATGTGACACGAGATTTTAAGAGATTCTTTTCAAATGAAGTAATATTAGTGTAAATTTTCTATTCGAAAATACTCTCTACAAATAAAAAGAGAACCCTCAATAATCATATGTCTATCTAGGTATACCTCCCTAATTTTCTTCCTACCATTTTCACTGATGTTATTGAGTAGGAATATGTTTAAAATATATCTGAGGAACTTCATTCATTGTGCGCTCTACAGTAATTGTTTCTCATTCCTTTACTTCGACAGGATCGACATACAAAAAATACATATGAGTAGCGCACTAATAAAACACACGTCTAGTTGTAAAATTGATTATTGCATGGTTATGCAGCTGTTATAACTGGCGATGGACATTAGTGAATTCCCCACTTCTGTGTAATGATCGATTTAAAAAGCACAGAGTGTTTATTAGCGTTTGTAGTATCCCTGGACCTAAACAAGCTCAGTGGACTCTGTTGATTGTGATAAGACATGGCTTCCAAATGTCTTACACCTCATACTCTGAGTGTTGCCGGGACCAAGCGGTTTTGTTCTCTCCACTATTCAGATGGATAGCGATTTCTAAAGCAGACAGGAATCGTGTATGCATCAATTCACCAGCAGAGTGATTTCTGGAAGAGTAGCTCTTTCTATAATATTTGAACTAACATTGAGAAGGGTAAACTGCTTTTTCTTCTTGGAGAGAAGTTCAATCTGAAGTAATTCGTGCTTTATTTTTTCCATATACCGTTGCTTATTCATATAAGTAGTACAACACACATACTTCGCATATAAGATAGTTCAGTCACTCATAATGTTTTGCTGCTGCAGCATAAAGGATGATGTGTCGCACTCGCTAGGTTGGTAGGCAGCAGAAGATACTCCTGATACACCTAAACGATCAACAATAACACATAGCCTTGCCATTCTACTGAGACGTGTTGCTGGCTGCATTCTGTACATGTTCAAGCGGCATTTTCAGTCTACGTGCGATCGGCGTGTTCACTCGAATGAAGGTTTATGATTATGCGGAGGGTGATTGGAAAAACTCGTCTATTCGATCTTCCCGACTGAATCAATTTGGGATTCAGCGTGAACACAGTACCTCAAACATATTTGAAGTTACTAAGGTCAAACTAATCTGGTCAATTAGGAGTATATACTAACATAAGCTGCTTGTTTTAAAGAAGTGCTAATACTACTTCTGTGGTTGTCTAGTATCATTATTACCAGTTTCTTGTGGCTCCACTCGCAATAGCGAACGGTGTATTTCGTGTGCGTAAGTAGAAGCGATTGTTAGCTTCAAAAACAAGTAAAACATCAATGGGCGAATAAAAAGGTTCATTCTTCCAATGAAGGATTATATTGGGTATTTGTCCAAATGTTTGACCACTGATGGAGAATCTTTAATGAAACCACTAAAAATTCTGTTACAAATTGAATGTTTAGCTCAGTGTGATGCAATTTATCCCTCTCGATCTCGTTCTCCTAATGTAAAACTACCCCTGCCTAGTACTGGTCTGACTTATTTCTAAATTTTAGTGGCGTCGTCAAGATGTTGGTGCTGTAGTCTCCATCATTCGTGAATGGCTTTGTTCGTTATTTCTTGGGTACCTTCTTGAGTAAATCGCGTAGCTGAACGGGATCGGAATGAACCGAGGTAGGTTGACGACCTCCATACTCTCTTTTAGAAGGGCGTTCGTGGTCGATACTGGAAGCGGCATGAAGAAACTCGGAGTAGGTAAAGTGGGTGGCACGATGTAGCCCATGATATTGCATTTCGATGATCCGGGAATTTGCCAGGGGGAGTTGATCTGTACCGCTTGACATGTGTCGTGACCCAGCGCAACGTTTTGGAATTCAAAGATCGGATAGAACCGTGTTTTATTGAAACTTGTACCTCAATCTTCTGAGAAACCCCGGTTCACCAAATCACTTTAAAACTGAGATGCAGTGACAAAAACAGTTTACGACTACAGACCGCAGTTACATGGGATAGCAAATCGATCTTTGTCTATTGAAATCATGACTGTCGAACAAGAAATATTTCGTCATATCGCAAGAAAATAAGGTGAGTAAATAAAAAATACCAGATGAACGTATTTCTGATGAGCTTCTGATATTGCCATACGCACAGGATGACATGTCGGCAACCCGAGTTCAAGAAACGTGCTCCACGAGGGAAAAGGTAGGAAACTGAAGGAGTATCATACCTTCAACGAAATACGGGACGGCACCGATTCACCAGGTATGTGCATCACGATGCGCCCGATGAATGATACTACTCAACCCCCACGTCTGACCACGAGACCACCATTGTCAGAAAACGAATGTCGTCGTTTACTTTATTCCGAGTTCTTTTTTCGCTGGGCCGAAATGTAGTGATGAACTGCTAACAGTAATAATTAGTGTGTTCACTTCGCGTATGATTATACGGTCGGTGGATCCTCATGGCAACGGGGAGCAAACTAGAAAATTTACCATTATCAGAGAGACAAGAAGTTTTTCCTACTGAGACTGATGGTTTTGCATCAATTCAACATCTATTTTTTCTACTCTCAAATGATTTTCGTTTTGTTGACTTCACCCCGAAGTGTAAAAGCTGAGAAAACAGAAATCATATTTTTTTCTGGTTAGCAGAACTAATTTGCGGCATTCTAAATACTAATATTAAATCTTGAAAATGAAAACGACCAATCTGCAGCAATCTGGGTACTGATTAATTTTGAGATATGCACTTAGTTTAGATTTACACCTCGTTTTAAAAGTGTTGTTATTTGTTCTACCCGATGATTTTAACGCAGAAGTCTATTCAATATTTTCAATTCTAAATTTTTAAATAAGTTGTTTTCAGAATACAGCAGTACATTATGACAGTGTTTGTTCTGCCTCATTTCTGGGAAGTAGGCTGAGAGCTGGCGCTACACCCATGCATCATTTGCAACGAATCTCGTTTTCAGGTAGATTAGGCGGTTGATTTCCCCTTTGTAACCGCAGTAACCCACGTCACAAACACTCGTTCAACCTGGCGTTCACCACAGATTATATGTCCCGACCCCGCCCAAACTACTTTCCGGGTACAAAATAGTGCAAACTGTATGGTATTTGGTTATCCCCCGACGTCTAACCAACTCATTCAACCATGATCGTTGGAGTTTAGAGTGTGAAATTGCCAGACTGCAAAATCGTCATTTCGTAGACCGTAAATAACTAAGGATGTGGGCCTAGTATCTACTAAAAGTGCATCCTTCAATGACCTTTTAAAACGTTTAATGATTTGTATTCACTGCTGTTTTGCATTATCAACAGTAGCCTTTTATCTTAGAGAGCCACAGGCCCCTTATTCTCTTTTGCATAGTATTATATATATAAAAGTAATAATTATAATATAAATATTATAAATATACTATAATCATGTCCAGTCTTTCACATAATATGCATTATGAAATATTCCGAAAAGACGATCAAAACATGTTTGTTGCGGCTAGTAGCATTTAACCCCTACAACAGCATTGAATCATAGCATTGATTCTTCATTGGACTGGCTCTGAAAGAGCTGTTCATTCAAAAGTCACCCGATGTTGCAAACAAGGTTACTGTGACGAAAATACGCTTCCTGAGTACAGTTATATGAATGGACTGACAACGGATTACTGAATGCGCATGCCTGACGAGCGGCCAGGACTGCGAAATCGGTCGTGTTCTTCTGGGTAAATTTTGTCCAGTCATTCACGTATTACTTATTAAGATATATATATATATATATATACTTCTAACACTCACTTCCGTTCTCGTTTACTACATAACAAATACAATAACTATCTTCCGGAAGCGGTCTTTGGTTAATCAAAATGCTGTTGAATGGGTAAGGTTTCGAATCAGACAGGTTGAGCCTCCAAGCTGCGGATAACCTACGAAAAGCGTTACGGTTGAGATAAGAAAATATGGTACCGTTGCACTCATTGATATTTCGTTGTGGTTGTATTGGAGGACGGGGTTCATAATTAACCTAATCAGCAATGGAAAATTTTGCACGAGCATTACCGAGTCCAAACACAATCTCACTTGATTTTCATTTTGCTGTGACTGTCACAACAGAGCAATTTTTAAAGGAGTTGAATGCTGTCAACAGAAACAAATCCTCTGGTCCTGATGAGTTATCCCCAGTGGTCCTAAACCCACCTCGCACAAACCGTTTCATTCATTTTAATACATGTCTGTCAGAAGGAAAACTAGTTAACACATGTCTGCACCTCTGCAGTACCTAAGAAAGTAAGGGGTAAGTTTCAGACTATTGCTTCATTTTCAGCATTATTTATGATTTTGGAGAGAATTATTGCTAGGTATCTATCCTCTAATCCTGATTTTGTGATTCCAATCAGTTTGTTTACTGTAAGCGTCATTCTGGCTTAGATGCGGTTGCTTGTCTTATGCACTATGTTTTATCTACCATATACCAAAAGCACAAAATTGTTCTTGTTTATCTTTTAGACTACACAAATGCGTTTAACTCTTCTGACAGAGGAGTTCTATTGTCATTATTACAGCAACCCAATCTACTGCCACATCTTTTGAATTGGATGCACGACCATTTTACTGACGGACACTAAATCACTTGTCTCATTAGTACTAAGCCTTCCACTGTTACTCTAAACCAAAATGTAATACAGAGGGTAATTTTATCCCCTTTGCTGTCTTCCTTCTACATCCAAAACTTGCCAGTTACCCCAAATGTTTTCACATTTAAATTTAGATATCATGGTAGTTGGTGGTGCATTTCACAACAATAGCCCTTCAACGAACCCTCTTAACCATAAGGTTCACTTCTGAATGGTCTAATGCTGGTTAGTGTTATTTTAACCAAAATGAATGCATAAAAGTGATGTTTCCGGATCATCTGTTCACGACATCTTAATTATTAACTCAAAGTGGAAAGATCACAACACTTCAAATATCTTGGATGTTTTCTGTCCGCTGACGTCAAACACGTATAACAAACGTTTCTTAAAGTTAGAAAGGTTACCTTTTGTATTTCAAGCCTCCGACATCTGAGAGTATCGTTGTACCTCATTTCTAAATTTATTTTCTTGTACGTTTTATTCCAGTGGATCCACTGGTCTCCCGTTATCTTCCCCGGTTTTGTGTCTAAGGATTTCATATTGATCGGACGCTCTCTGAAAAGCATCTCAAGATATTGAGCTGTATCGTATGAGGCGTTTGTTGACTCCGTTGTATTGGGAAGAGAGGAAAGAGACAAAACATTATTACACAAAACTTCTAAATCGGGGGTTAAAGGGAGGAATAATGCTTGTTGAAATACGCACAGTCTTCGAAAATATAACGCGGCTGGCGTTCGTTAACTCCTTTCATACGCAACGCTGTAGAATTGCGACTTTCAGTCATCATCCAGCGATGGCTGAACAAAAAGCACTTAGAAAGTCAGAAATATCAAAGTGAACCAATTTGGATATTAGACGGGTTGGTTAAAATTATTTATGCTAGACTATAGAGGAGAAAAATGCGTTAAAATACCAAAAGCTCATCCAATTTAGGCTAAAGAATGAAACTTTGTGAAGCTTTCCCTGAAAAATTGTACAATGCATGTATTGAACAGAAAAAAAAAACATTTTTTTGAAGAGAGAGTTTGCAACTCCATTTTTTTAACACGATAAATTGCATTCAATCTGACCCACCAGTTGGACTAGGGTTTATTGATTGTGGGATCCGCCAGTCGTAAAATAGAGACTGGTCACGAAGGTAACTCCACTCTTTGAATAAACCTGAAGTTACTTATTCCGCATCAACGGACAGATAGATACCACTGCAAGAAACAGCGAATCACTGATTGAGAATTATTTATATTCATATACCTCTGTGTTTGGAACAATATGTTGGGTATGGATTAACTTCAGACGAGCAAACTTCAATCGTAATGAACGCTTTTAGGATGTTGACCAAATGATGGCACCTTTTAGTTGTAAATATTTCAGACGGGGAGAAGCGAATGACTAAAGTGGATGAATGGTTTTACAATGGACAACAAACGCCTAAAAAGAATATAAGGCAGTTAGGTGAAGATAAGAAGATAGATCCGGGTAAGAATATGCGGAAAGCTCTGCCAATCATTGGACATAGACACTCGTCTTGTCCTCCCTCTTCCCTACAAATAACCATATTTTTTACACAGTCAATTAATTTCTGCACGCATCCAGCTGTGTTCAATTTCAGCGCCTATGGCATTCATCTGCAGCAGGCAAAAAATAATCAGAATACCATCCTTTGAGAGTTCAAGATAAACCATATTCAGGTAGCTACCAACAACTAACTCAAGCGTGACACTCCCCTGGGTAATAAATCCGTGAACCAGCGAGTAGTTGAAATTGAGAATTAAAGTGGCATAAATCACGAAACAACACAAAACGAGAAACAACTATATGATTCAATAAAACAACAGGAAAAAGCTCAAAAATCATGAGTGAGATGTTCGAATCAATAACGTGTCCAATAGTTGGTAGCGTATTTCGATTTGCATTCAATAAAAAATACGTTAACAGGAACAGCAGGTTTACGAAAATCGTTAATGGAGTTATAGCACCAAGAATGTTTAATATACATGACACGATAACTCACGTTTTGAGATAGGATAGAACGATCAACGCGGTAGGCACTTGAAACCTGCGAGCTTCATTACCTCATCATCTATATTCTCGAGCAGCCAAGTCTCCCGGGTGTTCATAACACAAAATGATCGCGTTGATGTCCAAAAGGTTTCTAGCCGTAGTATTAGTAATGTTTCTTTTGTAGAACCACTTTCCAGACTGCAGGATAAC